GCATCTTCTGGTTCCCACAAGTACAATGCGTTCTGTCCAAAATCAGTTTCATTAATAACCCAGTAATTTATAGCTTCTAACAACAAAGACTGCAGGTACACTTGACTTGCGTCTACTCCATGTTGCTTGTATTCGTCTACGATTTTCTGGGCGAAGGCTTCAACTGTGAAACCGCCAAACGGCATCGGAACCATAGGCTGCTTCAGCTCTGGGATCATTTTCACTCCCATAGCCTTGACAGTTGGATTGAATCACTATGAGTCATTGTAGTTCCGTTTGCTGCGAACAAATCGGTTCTCCATGTTGGAATTCCCCCTGCAACGTATTCCTCAACTGTTGTTGCATTTGGATCAGCTCCTTCCATTTTGGCTTTCAGGGACTTAAACTGCCGAAGATTTATATCACTGGTGCAGCATTTGGCATTTGCTTGCGATTCCCGATTACCAGCTGGGTCGAATACTGCAGGCAAAAACTGTTGAGTACAAAGATGCGCCAGATCTCTTCTGAGAAGAATGTCGGCAGTCGTGTGTAAATCACATTGCGAGTGCCTGCATACCAATTCTTTGTCTTTCGTGAACGTCACATCACACTCGATCACGCCTGCTCCCATACTCGCAGCTGCTACGTAGCTCTGCTTGGAATGTTCTGGAAAGAACAATGCCGCTCCTCTGTGAGCAAGAGTCGCCTCGCTACGTTTGTACAAAAGTTTGCTCTGTGCGCATTCCGTTAAGGTGTCCTTAAGAGGACTTTCTTCCATGTCAATTAAAAGGTAGAAAGGACGTGGTCCTAATTGCACCGCGGATGGAATTACGGGATTGTCGCGGTAGAGACAATCTGAATGATGGTCCGTGAGACAGTTATGGGTTATGAAGGAAACTGATGATGTCAAGCACCACAGAAATATTACAACAAAGCCAGCACGAGTCATGGTTGGCTCCAATCTGACCAAAATTTAGATTGATGCCGAAATTTTGACAGGAAACAAAATAATGATTTGGGTGCTTGTTTGGATTTTTTTCAACCTTTCGAACTTCCGGAGTTTTGCCAAACAAACAATGAGACGCCAGATAGAATTTGAAACTGCTCTAACATTATTAAAATAATAACGACGATATTAGCGAATCAAATGACTTTAACGAAAGGTGTTGTTTATTGGACTTATTGAGCTCCATAACTCATCCCAAGATATGTCACGGGAAAGTCCATTTCAAACAAAGCACCACTTGGCGTACGTCAAATTCAAATAAAACATTTAGTTACTATTTGAAATGCAATTATGAGCTAAATAATGGGTCAATATCCGACGAATCAAAAAAGAGAAACGAGTACGGCGTAGTTTCCGTTCTCTTTTGAAACACCAAATTTCGGTGGAAGATTTTTAATTCCCGAAAATTGACCAATAATTAGAAAAAAAGGAACAGGATAGTGTTACATATAAATTTCTCCAAATAATCGCAGAACTCTGACGAAAAACCTGTGAATAAAAGAAGTCTTATTCAAGAAATACTCATAATCGTGATGAAAACAAATAGTTCAGCAAAACAACTTTCCCACCTATCAGATGAATTCATTGATCTTAAGGCCGAAAAATGAAATGAGCAATACAAATCTTGTTACTCCGAGGTCAAAACCAGCCTCAATTACAATTTAAAACTTTTTGATTTAACCGAGCTATCTAATGTAGGCACAATGCGGCTCTCAAACTAAAGCTCGAGGAATTTTAAGGGCCACAAGAATTTTCTACTAGCAACAAAAAATATCTCAGAACGTTCAACTACTCCAGCAAATTCTTGAAAGAAAATTAGAAAACACATCTAACTATTTCGGCATTTTGCGGATCACGATTCGGGAACTCTATAAATGCCAATTAAACAACTTAGTCAACAAACAGCTGGAAAAGAGCCAGTGAACGCAATTAAACAGAAAAAAATTGCCCTTAAAGCTCTATGAATTTCATCAAACTTTCGCTTTTCAAAGAAAAAACCATGTCCTTAAAGCTCTTTGAAATTCAAAACAATTTATGATTTATTTCGCTGGGAAATTCGATAATTAAATTCTACTTTCGAAACTAGAAGACGATCACGTTTTACGTGACCTTTACATTTTAGCTGTTCGATAGTGGAGCTTGCCTTACTTTTAACAAGGGATGTGGAATGAACTAAAAAAGAAATCAAAAGTCAATCCACGAAAAAGTACATTTGAGCCTGAACAAATTTCAAGACTTTCCCTGCAAGAAAATTCACCACGACCTGTATAACTCTGAGCTACGATCAACGACTTTTAAAAATGGTTATTTCCTGTAACCATAACTAATTTGCTACAACTATTAGGACGGTGCTAAGGATTTTAGCAGACCGGTTTTTTAGCAGACTCAAAACAAATAAACAGTCAGACGCGTCAACTTCAAACGCGGCATTGGCGATGGCTTGCTCCTCTGTGCAAACATGCGACACGAGTTTCATTGTGCGCGTAAATCTGAGTTTTGCCGCTGATTCAGACTATTCTGTTTTTGAAGCTGATAGCCTGTTGACAAATTGTGAGATAATTATGTTAATTGGGAAAGCCTGACCCAAGATTGAGTGTAACTTTACTTGTCAATCAATTATGCGTCAGATTTGTTACATTGGTCTGCTGAAAAACTCATTTTTCACTTTTTATGATAAAAGATTTTGGTCAGCTAAACGATCGGTCCCCTACTAGGACAGAGCCGCTAAGGCAGGGTAAATTGCCGTGTGCTTTTCTGTTGATGTAAATCGTAATGCCAGATTTAGCAAGGTAAAAAAAATTACGTAATTGGAGCAAGTTGGATCAATAGTAAAAACTGGATCAATATCTTCAGCTTTACAGACCCATGAAAATCCCAAATCTTTGGAACGCTTCGCTGATAAAATTGAACAATATATTTTCTGGCGATGTATTACAATAGGTGGTAGATGCAACAGATTCAACTGCGTTGAGAACAAAATCTGGCTCCAAGAGGGATTCGAACCCGGGCCAATGGGCCTTCAGTCCAATGCGTTAACCACTAAATCAACCGGTCTGGGTATTGATAACTTTAGACTTAAGCCAACAACGGAGAATAAGTAATTCAGTAACAGTTGTTAGCCATGCTATTTTTCGACTTCGTAAATCAAACTAAAAATGATATGAGAGCAATAGTGTTTGCTTTTCGCAAAAAATTACTTAAAAGGCACCGTCATTGTACCCGTCCCATGTGTCGGTCAGGAATGCGCTGTGAGAGCAAAAAAATAGAGATAAGTATGCTTGGCGGTGCACTAACAGCCGTTGTCGGAAACTTTTATGCTTGAACTTTTTATTTTTGAAAATTCGAAATTACCTAATCGAGTTATTTCAACTTTGCTCTTTTTCTTTGCCGTACAAAAACCAATCTGCCAAGTTGCCACTCTACTCAAAGTTACTTCAAAAATGGCAGTAGATTTTTATGCATTATTTTGAAAAACTTGTTCTTGGGTCCTTCAAAGCTCAGACATTTGTGATTACAGATTTGGGGGACGTGCTAAGATTAATTTAATGGACGAATCTGTGGTAGCCAAGAGGAAATACAACCGTCGTCGAATGATCAAAGAGAAATGGATTTTCAGCGGATATGGCCCGGAAAAAAAGCTCGGTTTTTTGGAATTTGTTGAGGACAGGGGGGCTGAAACTCTGTTAGAAGTAATCTACCGACGAATTTTGCCTGGAACAAAAATTTGGTCAGATGGTTGGTCATTTGACATTACCTTATGTAGACCGAGACCAGTAGATTTTCTTCACGAATCTGTTGATCACAGAAAAAATTTCAAGGATCCGATCACCGGCGTTCATACAAATAAAGTGGGGACAGGCCAAGAAAAACTTGAAAGCTATGAACGGTGTTATTGATCTCTGGTTGCCTGCTCATCTTGACGAATTTCTTCGACAACGTTTTGGGAGCGCTTATGTTGTTTTTGACAAGCTCCTATTTCAAGTGAAACTCCATTACACGAATTAAAACTCATATCAAAACTTTGTTCCTCCGTTCAAAACTTTGTATCTTATCTTTTTGCTTTCTATTCATATATTTCTGTTTAATAGTTATGCGCTGGTTAATAAATTCTGCCATCTAACGTTTCTTTAAGTTGGTTTGTGGATAACATATTTGACTCAAGGCCCCGAGGTATGGGTTCAAATCCCGCTGGGATCCGTTTTTCTTTTGTGAAGACAGACCATTGTCACCTATTGTAATATATCACCTGTTTTCTTTATACATAGCGCAGTAAACATGTCAACATAGACAACAAATATTCGATGAAATCAATGACCTCGAGGAGGTTACAAAAATGAATGAATGTCTTAAAACCAATTTCAACTTTCAAAAAAAAACATGACCTTAAAGCTCTGAATCTCAGAAATCATTGGTGAGTGATACTTTTTTGATAAAATTAACCCACCTTGAAATAAAAAACAGGATCAACCTATCACAGCTTTAATACGCTGGTAATTCTTAAAAGCTAAAATTTAGGTTCGAAACTAGAAAACGCTCAATAACTTTTTCGCATTTCAGCTTTTATCACTGCAGAGCGTAGTTTGCCTTCGATTAAGAACTCAAATTTGAACTTATATGCATAATTGCATTAATATGCATTTACACGAGCATTTTGTAAAAAAAAACATGAACGAAAAAAAATAAACACGATCGATATAAGTGTCTTCAATGCTTTCATTGACACTATATCAAAATCCAGTGTAAAGTTAAATAGATAAAACAAAATCAGAGAGAACAAATTGAAACTTTTTTCCGATAAAACAAAACAACATAAGTCAATGAAAATTACCTGCGTTGGTTTACAATACAACCAAGTCTGTTAAAGGCAGTTGAATCTGATGTAATTTTAACATAACACTGGTAATGCGTCAGCAAAAGCATTTTCTGTGAGATTCTTTCAAATGCCAAGCAATTAGTGGTATTCTATACAAAGACATCTTGAACAAAAAAACTGCCCGCTAATTTCAAGATTTACCTGAGGATCCCGAAGTGGTGCCTGATGATGGCGTGAAGGCTGACGACTGGGATTCAGTGAGGAGAGTTCTGTGGCATATAAGGCAGTACTTGGTGAATGATATCCGTTGGCCCTTCTTCTGAGAACTGATCATTCGATTCATCAGGTCTATCACAACAAAAAACCAGTTATCAAATTTAGTTGAGATAGAGTATCTGGCTGTACTTTCGCAAATTTAACCCATAATTGATATTAACTTGCTATGGGTTGTAACAAACTAGATATAAGATCTTTTAGGTTCAGCTCCATTGTGATTGGCAGAAATAAAGCTTTTAAATAAAAAAGGTTAAGCCACGAGTTGATCCTTGTGGCTTAAATGCGCGATGTTAATTCTGTGATCTGTTGTTCACAACTAGAAGGAATAAGAACAGGATGGTATTTCTAACCGAAGCAGTCTTTCACTAGTATGTTACTGCATCCCTCTGTCAGGTTCCTCTGCAGATTGTAGTCCTGCAGGATCTTCACCAGCGAGTCCCTCAGCTTCGGGATCTCCTTCCCTAACTCGATCTTCTGGATGATCTTGATGGGGTCCACGTGGGTGCCGATGTTGTTCAGCAGGCCTGATATGTACTCTGGGTTGTTCTGAAACAATTCACGATTTACAATATCAAGAATACTGGGTTCCTTTAGCTGAAAACGCCTTATTTGGTTTAAAACCAAGCTTTACACAGCGGCGAAGCTGAGCTTCGCACCACTTGCGATACAAAAATGAATTACTAAGATCAAAATCAAACGAAAAGAAACATTAAAATTTTTTTTTTAAACTTATAAATGGAAAAATACAACACAAGCACAAAATATCCGGAACGAAATTACCTGCACTATTAGAAACTATAAAGGAACTTTTATACGGCTAGAGAGAAGCCGAATGTCTAAAAAACCCTATCTGCTGAATAAAGTCGACAAAAAGGGTATCATAAAGGGTATCATACAAAACAGAAAACACAAAACTGATCGTTTTTTTAAATTTCACTTTTAGAGTTTTGAATAAAACAAATGTATGCCCCTTCAGCTCTTTGAATTTCACAAACAATCTATGACCGGTGCTTTTTTGATAAATATAACCCATTTTCTCAAAACTGGATCAAAAGTAAAACTTTTATTTCGCTCGAAATTCTGATAATCAAGATCCATGTTCGAAATAAGTCGATCACGTTTTTCGTGACCTTTACATTTTTGCTGTTCGATAGTAGAATTTGCCTTTCTTATTACAAAGGAAATGCACTGAACTTATAAAGAAATCAAAAGTCAAACCGCGAAAAATAAAAACTGAGCGTGAACAAATTTCAATACTATTTCCTGAAAAAAAAAAAAAAAAAATCAGCACGACCTATATAAGAGTACTCAATACTTTCATAACTCTTAACAAGCATCGAAACACAACTAACAAAGCAGTCACAAAGGCAATTTCTTGAGCTGACAATTCTTGAGCTGACAAAAAAATTTTACAAACTCTTTTTGCTCAAATTACTCAAAAAAGTGGCCTTTAAGCTGTGAACAAAGTTAATCACGGTAAACAAAGTCTAGTACCCTATAGCAATACATTTGCTTATCGCAAGGGTAATAAAATTTAAAACCGAAAGCTGAAATCATACCAAATCGGTTTTGCTAAACTTCCAACAAACATTAAAAATAAATTTCGAATTGACGTGGTATTTTAAATTTCACTTTTAGAGTTTTGAATAAAACAAATGTATGCCCCTTCAGCTCTTTGAATTTCACAAACAATCTATGACCGGTGCTTTTTTGATAAATATAACCCATTTTCTCAAAACTGGATCAAAAGTAAAACTTTTATTTCGCTCGAAATTCTGATAATCAAATTCCATGTTCGAAATAAGTCGATCACGTTTTTCGTGACCTTTACATTTTTGCTGTTCGATAGTGGAATTTGCCTTTCTTATTACAAAGGAAATGCACTGAACTTATAAAAAAATCAAAAGTCAAACCGCGAAAAATAAAAACTGAGCGTGAACAAATTTCAATACTTTTTCCTGAAAAAAAAGAAAAAAATCAGCACGACCTATATAAGAGTACTCAATACTTTCATAACTCTTAACAAGCATCGAAACACAACTAACAAAGCAGTAACAAAAGGCAATTCTCAAAAAAGTGGCCTTTAAGCTGTGAACAAAGTTAATCACGGTAAACAAAGTCTAGTACCCTATAGCAATACCCTTGCTTATCGCAAGGGTAATAAAATTTAAAACCGAAAGCTGAAATCATACCAAATCGGTTTTGCTAAACTTCCAACGAACATCAAAAATAAATTTCGAATTGACGTGGTATTTCTGTTGTTTGACGAAAGTACAAATTTGAGAAACCGATGCAGTGCAACTGTTAGAGTTGTTCACCACGGAAAAATCTTGTATTCCAATTAGATAACGCGTGGAAATCGTTAGCTTTAATAGTTTTTCACGAGAAACTAAATTCAATCCTGAATCAAGATTTTTGAAGAGTTCTTGCAAGCAACACCAAAAAGATAATTAGAATCGCAATTTTCAGAAGCTAATTTTCAGGAACTAAATTTGAGGAAATCGAATTTTTGGCCCTTAAAAAATGAAACTGTTCAGGCAATGTTGCAGATTGATCGCCTGAAAATAATTGACACTTCCTATGCGTCTTAACGTAATTTCGTTTCAATTCAAATCTCCGAAAACAATACACTGTATTTGTATTTTCCCAAGTTCTCTAAGCACATCCGTCTTCCTTGCCGCCCCTTGAGGGAAAAAGTCGGCGAAACAAGAGTATCACGAAAATGAAGTTGACAAATCTGATCCTCTGAATCTAGAAAGCGCGACAATATTTTTTCATGTGGATCATCCTTGCCATGTCGCACATTTGAAGTCATTACACTTTTCAATCCAAAACAAATCTACGAAGCCGATGATACAGATAACCATTTTTATGTACCGACAATGCTTATAACCATGTTTTCTGCGCTACCGAACATGAAATGGGAGGTTTGAAAATGGGAGGTTTGAAATGTTGCCATTTGCGGCGACTATAGTCGCTCGTCGGGTCCACCGCTTGAAGACAGGACCACTGAACCCATGCTTATGACCATGGAAATGGGTGACTCACCTTCGATGACTCTATGAGTTGGTCCCAGAGGAATTGTTCATCCACGTCTTTGCAGTATGCGATAGCATCTTCCACCGTGAGCACTTTGCTATCATTGATGGTCTGCAGCGCCTGAGAGTGATTGCCAGTCCGCTTCATGATATGGATCATCTCCTTGGTCAACTGTTTCCGCTTACACACTTCAAAAGCCTGACAACAGAATGTTATTTAAACAAACACTCACAAAGAGGGTTATTTCTACCGCCATAGTTATGATTCAGTTTCTTTCAGAAGTCATTTTTTCCTATAAAAATCACATATTAAAATTTGAGTTTTGTTCATGAATTCAATACTTGGTTTTCACTTCGTGCTACAAACATGGCAAGCAAAAAGCGAGATAAATCAATTGAAACCATTTCATAACATATAGAAATTCAGCAAACGATGCTTAGTGTGCTTGATATAATTTTTAGTTGTTTTGTTACCCTTGGAAAGTCAATTTCAGGATCTTCTTTGAAGAAAGCCAACAACTTCTTCGGCTCGTACTCTGCATACAGTTCCACTAGTTCATCTTCGTACCCTTTGCACTGATTAGCATCCTTCCAAAACAGTCTATCCAAATAGTCATACAGATACCTAAACGAGGATATGCTTTAAGCATCAAAAAGCTATGAATGTACACCTACACAGGGGCGGATTAAGGGGGGAGGGCTCTTTTTCCTTTTCCCCGACTTCACACAAGTAACAATTTATGGTGTAACGAGTAGTTTTAAAAGGTTAAGTATTATGACCAAATATGTTTGTCATTTTCTAATTAGTCCGCAAGTCAATTTTTGTTACAATCGAACAATTTGAACGGATCTACTTAACAATCTCTCTCCCCCCCCCCCCCTTTCAAGAAAGGGGGGAGATTGTTAAGTAGATTACTTGCAGCGAATTTTCGACCAATCAGAATGCAGCAAAATTCGATGTTACATACAACGCTCGAGTGCGAATTTACTGTTTTATTTACAAGGGTGGAGATTCTTTAGTAGATACAATAGGGGGGAGATTGTTAAGTATATCCATTTGAACAAAAAAAAATTTACTTAATATTACAAAAACAATGATTTGCACGTGGGGGAAAAAAAAAGAGCCAAATAAACCACTTAAAAAACGGATTAAAAAGACATTTGTTTATTCCGCTTCTGGGACTTTCTAAAAATAACCTTACTTATGAAACAATTATCAGACCAATATATAGAGCGATTTGATGTGGTTTTGAAGTGTACGCTCCAAGTGCGATGCTATCAAATTTTTATTTAGTCAAAATAATACTATATTGCATATTCTTCGTCTTACCTTCTCGCATTTTCACTCTCACTTGAGCGCAGAGATTCCACACACTTCTTCACCTCCATCTTGTCAGTGTTGTTCACAAACATCTCCAGACTTTTCTCCTTGTCGAAAGCCATCAGAGCTTCTAGCTCGGCCGTCATGTCTTTGTAGAGATCTCGTTTTTCGATTATGTCAAACACATAGTTGTTAGCACCTGTCAACAGAGACCATTCTAAAATTATCACATGAAAATTGCTTAAAATTACATCAAACGAAATTGCAAAACGGCTGTCATTTTTAAAAAGTCTCGTATTTCTTTAGATTTAAAATGTCAAATAATTTGAATTTGCCAGTTAATTGGACGACCATACAAAAATCAGTCTCCACTTTATTCTAGCTCAAATTTCATTAGTTAGCATTTCTCAGCCTTTTTGGAACATAGAGGCGAAGCTGAGCTTCGCACATTTGCGATACAAATATGAAGGCTATGAAAATCAAACGAAAAAAATTCAAATCGTTTTTGTCAATAAAAAATAAAAATTGCAACAAAAACTCAAAATATCCGGAACAAAACTGCCTGCACCATTAGAAACTTTACAAAAAGCTTTGGGAATGCTACACAGAAGTTTTCAAAATTAGGCCTTTCCGCGGAATTAAGCAGACAAAAAATGAGCAGACAGACAAGAATCTAAAATAGCCAAAATTTTCTATTTGTAAGAAAAACAAGTCTCAACTGGAATCGAACTCCCGGGCTTTGTCGTCTTAAGCATGGGGGATACAGCAAATTGGAATGAAGCTGAACCACCGAGCTACGGGAACTAAGCCCACAAAAATAAACAGACGGACGATAATCCAAAAAACTCTAGTTTGCAAAAAAGGGCCCGGCCGGATTCGAACCGCACCTTTTTGCCACCTCAAGCTGTTGTTTTACATCTAGATCAGATGCGCCGGAGGGTTGTTTGTATTTGAACTTATAATTACCACGCGGTAACAAAGTCGAAAAAACCTGAGCAGAAACTCTTCATGCCGAAAAGAAATTCAGAAAAATTCTTTAAACTTATTTTTAAAAAATGTCCCTTTTCCCGTAAGAGCACGCACACGCTCACAAAAACTCTTCTCGGCGTAATGATCTAATAAGAGGCCACTAAGTCGATATTAATTAGGCCAAAATTTATTGAGCAAATTTCGATTCGGCCGAATTTTAAAATGCTAAAAACAACTGCAATTAAAATAATTTACAGCAAAAATAAACGATTCTTAGCTGTGGCAACTAAGCCGACAAAACATACGCGGACATATAATAGGCAAAAGTTTTTTTGAACCGGAACAACTACCGTTTGAAAAAACTGGTCGTGGTCAGATTCGAACCCAGGACCATTGCCATCCCAGGCGTATTCGTCACCACCAGGCTAAGCGTGCAAGAGACACTACAAATTTTGAATTCTTTATGAACAAAGATACCACCAGTTCAATGAGTCCTGTGGACAAAGTTGTTTACAGGAAAAAAAGTCTTGTGCCCAATTGCAACACCGCAAGGATAAAAAGAAAAGGCTCAAGTGAAAAATCTGCTCCGTAACTCAACTTGATCGACCACTTGATTAAAACCATCCTTTTTCTTTTTAAGCCTATCAGAAATCAGCATTTCGCAGGTTGGATCTATTGCTTAAACTTTCTATTTAATTTAAGGGGAGGTCATCGGTCACTTGTTTTGTTTTGTTTTGAAAGAAATTAATGACATTGGCCGAGATAACTGTTACCTGAGGAAGAATTGATAGTCGCGCCCAATGAAGGAGATCCTGGAATAGCACCACCGTGCAAGTATATCTTCAGGGCCTTCCCGTACTCTCCCTGATGCTGGTACAAAATGGCCAGAGCTTGCAGAAGGGTCGTGTATTTCTGACTCTCAGGCGATGCAGCGTTTTTTAGATTCTCAACACCCTGTAACAACAGCACTTTTTTCCAGCGAAACTTCCCAAGAAATTGCTAATTTTAGTGGCATAAACAGCAAAATTTCAATATTTTTTTTTAGTAGATTGACGTAACAATTTACACAACTATGCAGACCAGCGCTAAAACGGAACCTCTTCTAGCTTTGATAACACAATGGTAGTGAGCCGCAACACATTGCGGCGTTTTTGCATTTACATATTTAGACCAATGCACTATTTACCTCATTTTTGATTGGGCTAAAACTTTCGTTCACTCTATTCAAAGTTAAACATAGCTACTCACTGAACTGTTGTCTTTATCGTCGCTTCTCATGCGTTTCATCGTACTATCAACCTCGTCGCTCACAATCGATTGGTTATAAATGTGAGCAGGCCACTTGTTAACTAAATGCAGAAACTGTTCTGGTTCTTTCTTCAGAAATATCAGCAAAATCAGCTCGTAATATTCGCACCTCAATTGCGGTTCGCTTGTCGGAACATGCAAACTCAAGATTTTAAGTTGGTCTTTTTTGATAAACCCGTGAATAAACTTTTCCCAATCAGCTGAATTTTTACCCAAAATATCTTTACAATTTTTGGCCGCCTTTTCGAACTCTTCTTGCTGGAAAAGGCGTTCCAGGTAGCGGAAACCAAACTCTCGGAATTTATCCTCTTTCAACTCTGCCCTTCTCCTGTGTGCCTCAGCCATAGCTTGATCTATCTGTTCATTTTCAAACAGCCAGTTTAGCTTATCATTCAAAGTTGTCGGAATCGCTAAGATCAAATCGTGTCCATTATAGACTACATAATTATTTTCATTATACACAGATGACACTTTGTAGTCTGCAGCAAAGCACTCTTTGAAGTTGGCTAACTTCATCAGCTTTTCATTCACAACTTCATAGTCGTCGAACTTAGTCGGTTCAATAAGCAGAAAACTAGGGATGTCTTCTTCAACCGATTCGTCGTCATTGTCTTCGTCATCTTCCATGTCCCGATCAAATTCAGAGGCATCTGGATAGCACATGATGACAAAGTACTTGTGGATCTTTTCATTATACGGCGCAACGCCACAGATGAAATCAGGCATACGAATTTGTTGATGTTGTTCAACGCGTTTTTCCGAAATTCCTCTCGCATCAGCGAAACTGGTTTCAAAAATTCTATATACACTAAAAGTTTTACCCCAGCCTATAATAAGAACCGAATCGTCCGTTTTCCAGGCCAAATGACAGGGGTACAGATCATTCCTTAAATTGTCATCAACTTTATCGATACCTTCAAAGTTTACACGTTGTTGCGTATCGAAAATAAGAACCCGGTTCGGAAGCGCATAAGCAATGTAATTATTATGCCAAGCTATTGTTGAGACAGATCCTGATATTCTAGTAAGAGCCGTCCGCTTGTATTTTCCAAACAAACCCTTTTCCCAAAATAGAGGACGGTCACCTCCAGTTGCGAAGCATCGTGAAACTGAGAAGTTAGGATCCAAACAAATGCATTCAACTTTAAATGGCAAGCATTCTTGAACGTCAAAATCAGATTTGAAGAAACCAAAAACATTTATTCGTCCATCGTTTGAACAGGACGCAAAAAACTCACCGGTTCTATCAATGCAAAGCGATGTAACTGCAATCGGATGGACGGGGAACTTTCTATCAACGGTTACTTCGTAGCCATTGTGATCAAAAACATGTACATGGCCATTCTGGGTACCAATCATCAAAAATCTGTCGTCGATGTCCACAGCTGTGACTTTACTTTTTGCGATAATCGTGGCCATATCATTCGATATCCTGACATACTTCAGAACAGGTTCAGCTTCTGGTTCAGTTGAGCTTGAATAAGAGTTAGATGGTGTGGATGACGTTGTGGACATTCTTCTGATGAAGCCATTGGATGTAACAGGGTCGCTCATCTGTATGCCACTTACAAGCATCGATGAAGACATCTCGGGGAGAAACACATTCCCTCCAGCTGTTGGCGTTTTCATGTAGTGTGTCATTTTCCATCTTAAATACAGGGACTGATTTAAAAACTAACTAACAGCTAATAGGTAACTCGAGAAGCGTTCATAAATGTCTCCATAAGTGCCATTCCCCTTAATGGCACAGCCAAACCGCCCGAAACACGAAAAAGACGGAACTAAGCGAAATTGATACGAAAGGGAGGGTCGGAAAATTCTGGAATTTTTGATTTTTTATCAAAAATCGATTTGAAATGGACTATTTCTCAGAAAAACTAAAACCGCCATTTTAACCAGTTACAATGTGTCATACAAGAACAGCCGGATATGACACGACGAACAGCCGATTACGAGAAAGTAGAAAAAACGGAAGGTACAGTGGAATATCGAAAAGACAAGAAAATGCCTCCGGACACGCGTACGTGATAAGACACTTGATCACGAGATCAAGTGGAGCCGGAGGGTTGAGTGCAGGGACTTCGATACCGACAAACTTCCGGTATCGGTATCGTGCATCTAATTTGAAGTATCGGTATCGTTTTTGCTGCTTAAGTGGTATCGGTATCGTTTTTTCTGAAAATAGCTTTTGAGTATCGGGAAAAGTATCGTTTTGTATTGTATCTTAAAATAGACGCAGAAATAAAAAACCTTTTGTCGAACATTTTTATTTATAACACAATAAATTCAAAGCAAATGCTGACATTTATTTAGAAATACATTGCGCTAGTGGGTAGCCGGGCTCATCTGAACTTGAAGGTAATTTTTTGAGAGCCAACCCCAAGAAAACAGGATGTAACAGTCGCCTACTTCGGTCACATATGAGGCTTAAGAAAAAATAGGCCCTAAAACCATTGGCTCAAGAGTCAGGGACACTATCTCTTGTGTTTTTCTACCTCAAAACGGTCGGAGCCAATTCGGTTCGCTTGCGACATGAGACTAGAACCCGTTACAGCTTAAAGGCCACTACCAAAATATCCCCCCACTCTAGAAAATAAGAACGTCCCCATACTTAGGTCTCGAGATATCCAAAATACACGAACGCCGTTAAAAACAGGGTCGGAACAATCCGTTAAGTTACTTTTTATTAGACAGTGGAACTTTGATCCATTTCAGATGGATCAATCTAAAACTCGCCTTACCTCAACATAACAACCATAAAACACACTCGAGAAAATTAAATTAGGTACTTACATAGCAGCACACTCGAGAACTGGAGGTAACTAAATTAGTAAGCAACTTGAGAATGATCGGGGAATTAAGTTTAATTCAATAAGTTCTAATCGAACAAGTTTTATCTCAAGAATGGAGTTTTGGTTCTGGACCATTGGGACACTTCGGTTGTCCACCTTTCCACCGAAGGCTCACTCTGGTTCAGCTAGATTCCGATCTTCTTTTGTAATCAACGTCTCCTATATCAAGATAGGACAGCTCTACTCTCGTGGTTTTTGTTGTTATCTTGGAAATTGCGAATAGCAATTTCCCGCTCTTTTTCTGTCGTTTTCCCGCTGTTGTAAATTCGGTCGTTCTACTCTATTTTTTTTCTGTTTTCAGTTGTCGCGAGAAAACTGAGCATGACAGGCTACATTCGAATTTTTGAAAAAACAAAATTTCATTCCAAAACCACGTATTTTTGTGTTCCTCAAGGTCAAATTTCCAGATATGACCAACTGGCACATACTCCCCGGACTCAAGATCGATGTCCTCATCGCGTGCTGCCGTCTGTCAGTGAATCCCCAGAAACCCGAGTGTTACTCAAGATACAGTGCCAGTGGTCATTTACAGAAGTTTGCAGCGGACTTAAGTTTATCTACAACCCAAAATTCACAACCATGTAAAATTTTCACACTATCGCTAAACAGCAATCAAAATCTGCACACACCTGCACCTGTGGATTTTTCGCTTTTTAAGCTAGTAATTTAAAAAAAATTTTGTCCTATTCAATCAGGAAATTGTCATGCAACATTTTGATTTATATAATAGATATAGCATATTAATAACAATATCTCATTTGTTAAAATTTCTCTTTGGTGAACCCAGATTTCATCCGAGTTCACCCTTGATCCCCCTTCCCTCTCAAGACTCAAGACTCTAGAATTCCCCACTGAGCCACCTGCTCACCTCGCGTTCTTCGCCTTCGAGGTACCAGACCCAGATGCATTTGACACCGTGATCTGCTTCAACAGTGCCTCTTCGTCATCGGAGCTAATCACGATCTCTTCCCAGGCTTTCAGCTGTTCATAGGACAGCATCCATTACCTTTGCTCCTGCAATCTCTTCGCTTGATTGGGCAAACTCTTCACCCTCGACTCTCGGTTCAAACAGAAGGAATTGTGCAGACTCAGGCTCACGTTCTTCGCCAAGTCTTCCTCTAGTATCGACTCTCTCGCCTTGGTGTTGTTTCTAGACACTCTACCAACTCTTTTCCACCCCGTCGTGATCGCATTTCGTTGGGTCAGCAGAGGTCTCTTGAAGGCTTCCGGTCCTCTGGACTTACCGATGGAGCTTGTGATAGTCAATTCCATGCTTCGAAAACACAGACTGGCCGTCAGGTGAGTTATTATTGGATGATCGTCCCCTATAACCGGACTGAGCTTGAGTTGTCTGGCGAAGTTCGATATCTCCAGCAAGAGAACCTCGTTCAATACCATGAGGATGTCCCTCACAATCTTTGACTTGAGTATTATCCCTATCGGCATCCCTCGGTTCTTCTTCAAGATTGTTTTCTCCGGAGGTTCTTTTGGTAATTCGGGGTGATCTTCTATTGGTTTGCCTGATTTGTCTAGCCATCTCGTGAGTGGAAGACTGTCGTAAGTTTCCTTATCCTTGAAGGAGAAGCCATCCTTGATTTCAGGTCTATCTGCCTCCCTCTGTTTTTGTCTCTCGTAAAACTCCGTCTTCTTACTCAAGCTGTCAGCGTTTTGATGTTTGTCTCGTGTTCTATGCTATAATGTTGTACCCATCCAGGCGAACTATCCACCTCCCAATGTAATTTTGGTCCATTGAGTACGTCTTCAGCCAGCTTAGTGCCCTGTTGTCGACTCGCAGCTTGAATGGCTCGCTGCCTACGTATGCTCTCTTTTTCTCGACAAAGGTAACCACCGCGATCATCTCTGCTTTCGGTGCCCCGTACTTGCTCCCGTATGCTTTGGGTCTCAAGACTGTTTTCCCGTTCCATTCTTGTTCCTGATGGAGAATTCCAGAAATCGCTACTACCGACGCATCCGTGTCTAGCACGTACATCCCTTTCTCTGTTGGCATCCCTAGTACTAGTGCCTCGCAAAACTCTTTCTTTATTCTCTGGAATGACTCTTCTGCTGCGTTGTTCCACGTGAACTTCTTGCCCTTGTGTCTCATTAACTGTTGCATCGGGTATACCTTGTCTGCATAGCCTTTGATGAATTCTCTGTAGTAATTCGCAAAACCCAGGAAGCTCATCAATTGGTGTTCCGTTTTTGGCGATTTCCAAGTTAGAACTGTTTCTACTGCATCTGGATCTGGTCTGATGCCGTGCCTGTCCACCATCCTGCCCAAATTTTTTATCGAATCCTTGAGTATTTCGCACTTTGACGGTTTACACTTTAGCCCCGACCTCTTCATACACGCAAGCACCTCGTCAAGTCTCTTAATTTGGTCTTTTTGTGTGGGCGTCGCTATTACCCCGTCATCCACATAGCACATTACCAGATTGTCGTACTTCTTCGTCACACCTATCAGCGCGTGTGCCATCAACCGCTGAAATGTGGCGGTGGCATTGCAAAGACCAAACGGCATCCGTTTCCATTGAAACAGACCCAACTCGCAGGCGAACCCTGTCTTGTCCCCGTCCTGCTTCCTGAGCGGTACCTGCCAGAAGGCCGAACCTAAATCAAGAGTCGTAAAAAAACTTTGCATCACCTAACTTCGAGAGGCTCTCATCAATCCTAGGTATGGGAAAGTCACAACAAAACCTCAATTGGTCGCCTTTCTTTTTGGCCATCACTACTCCACACGCCCACGGTGATTTTGATGGTTCTATCATATCATACTCTAGTAGCGTTTCGATCTCTTTTCTACATGCATCCAATTTGTGTGGGGTCATGCGCCTCGCCCCCTCTCTGTGCGGTGCCGCATTCTCTTCAAGTTCTATTTCATGCTCAACAAAATTACAACACCCGATGTCTGCCTTATGTCTCGAAAAAACTTCTTCGTTCCGCTCTAATACGTCCCTGATGGCTTCGAGCTGTTCGTCCGTTTTCTTGCCTCTTAAATGTTCAATTTCCGGTAGGACCGGTTTGTCACTCTGCATTTCATCTAGTGTGGGCCGTTCCGGAGAATTCGAACAGCTCGATAGCCCATCGTCTGTCTCTAACTTAAGTGATTTCACAAGACCTGATGAACCTTTTATTTTCCTCAATCGTCTCAAGATACAAATTTTGTCCCTATGATTGGGACAATCAACAACTTCATTTTGTTTTTGGTTTTCAGTCATTTCATATCGAGTTTTTACAGGTAAAGCATATCCCAGCTTCCTCCCCCTCTGTATCGTGATTGGTAGGTCAAGTGTATTCAACAAGACACTGACGCAGAGACCGCTCTTCGTTATCGAGAAGGATCTTCCTAAAACAGCAGCACTTTGACTATTTGGATTTGGGACTATGCATACCTGCTTGTTGTCACTTAGTTCATTGTAATTTTTCATTCGCAAGCTTACGATCGCCGCTTCGTTCGCCTTTAGCCTCACCCTCCTACTCAAGAATACCGGTGCTTTTTTCTCATTCGCCAGTATTAAATTTACCGGTTTAATTGCGTACCTCCTATCCGGGTTCCGTATCCTGAACATTGCGTTGTTTAGATCAATCGTTACATCGAAGTTCCTGATGAAGTCTCTGCCTAAAATGAATTGGTCAGACTCATCTAGGTTTTCTACCACAAGAAAGCTCATCCACAGGTTGCGTTCCCCCAGATTTAGGGCTATTATTGGCGTTCTGCCCAGGACCCGCAGCGCCCCTTTGTTTGCAGCTGACAACCGTATTCTCGAGTCTATCAAATCATTTCTGGTGAAG